GCTGGATCCGCATCCGTAGAAACAACTTTAGGTTGTAACCCCCCTTATAATAAAAAAAAAAAATTTAAATTAAAAGCAGTATAAGCTACAATAGATATACTAAATAAAAAAATAAGCCAACAACCTGTAGCATTAAGTAGCCCCTGCAAGATCCACTCAAATGTTATTTTTTGCTCGTCCATAATTAAGGCCGTTGCAACGAGTCGTGATCTATTATGATTATCTATACAGACAACCACACACATTATCATATTAAATCTATTCGTTTTACAGATCGTGTCAAGCAAAATTACATCGTGAAAACAACTCCAAATATCGATTTGCTTAGGGTGCAACCACATAAGCCCTACAAGATGATTATCGCTTCCCTCAAATCTTGCATCAACGTACCACCCAGGCATCTCTTGCTTTCAGCACATTAGTTCTTTGTAAGTAGCACCTGCATCACTCAATTTTTCTTTCTCTGATTTAATTGTTTGGACAATATTGTAGACGCTACGTGCATGGATGTATTGATCTGGATATTTTTTTGTTAACACATTAATAATCGCTCCAGTACGTACACCACTAGCAGAAAGAAGTTCTATGTCTTCTCGCATTTCAGATGTTAGGCGACGATATTGAGGTGCAGTCATTTGGATATTATTACTCATTTGATGTGAATGCTTGCCAATTATACCCGAGATATGTACTTGATTATCGCTTTTCCATCTTTGAAAATTAATATGATAATCACAATCACTATTCTCATGTGTTTTATTTCTTTCTTCTAGAGTATGTGCCTTTTTCTTTGCTTCATAGCGACGACCTTTGAAACAATAGTAAACTCGATGTCTTGGTATTTCATCACTTTTATCTAATTCACTTTTTACCAAAGAAAAGGCGAAGCCTCACTCACGACCATGTTTGTCAAGCCAACTTTCATTAATTAATACCTATACTATATGTGAATAAAAAACAAAACCAAAATAAAACAGCATTCGACTTTACTTACTTTTCAACATCTTTTCAATCAGTGAAGCTTTGCCCTTTATTTAAGGGATATAACCCCTCTTCTGAATCGGTTAAATCAGCTTCAGCTTCAGCTTCTACTAAACTATTACTTTCTTCAGAACGAAGTTGCCCATAAGAGTCCAGAATTTCATCAAATATATTCATCTCATTATTGCTGCTAAAACACAAATCTGCTTCGTCAAATTCATCACTTCCCATTTTAAAATTTATAATGGACTTTAGTCAAGTACTTTATGTGAAATAAAATAAAAGGAAGTAAGTTAGAGTTAAGTTAAATTTAATACAGTATATAGTTGAAATATAGCGATATAGATATTAAAGTAAAAGTTATGCGTATATAGATATTAAAGTAAAAGTTATACGCGTCATGCATGTGACGCATAAATCAAGATTTTTATATGGTTACACCAATAGGTGAAAATCACCATAAGTGCGTACCAGGAACGAATGTAATGAGTGTACCAGGAACGAATGTAATGAGTGTATGGTTTATACACTGTTTGGAGTGGGA